AAAATTAGCCAGGCATGGTGGCGCACACCTGTGGTCCCAGCTACTTGGGAGGCTGAGGCAGGAGAATTGCTTGAACCTGGGGGAAAGAGGTTGCAGTGAGTTGAGACGGAGGTTGCCACTGCACTCCAGCCTGGGCAACAGAGCAAGACTTCAGACTTCATCTCCAAAAAAAAATTTGGACATACCAAGTTTCAATTAATCTTTTGAGAGAAGGGGAGGCAATAAATAATTCATGTAGGCCGGTCGCGGTGGCTCACACCTGTAATCCCAGCACTTTGGGAGGTCAAGGTGGGCAGATCACCAGGTCAAGAGATCGAGACCATCCTGGCCAAAATGGTGAAACCCCGTCTCTACTAAAAATACAAAAATTAGCTGGGTGTAGGGGTATGTGCCTGTAGTCCCAGCTACTCAGGAGGCTGAGGCAGGAGAATCACTTGAACCTGGGAGGTAGGGATTGCAGTGAACCGAGATCATACCACGGCACTCCAGCCTGGGGACAGAACAAGACTGCGTCAAAAAAAAAAAAAAAAAAATACCAGGACTGGTCAAGTGAGGCCTCTGAAAAGCAGCAGTAAAGCATAGACAGAAATCAGGAAACTGGCAGGTAGCAGCATTTAATGAGCGGCAGAGAGCGCAAGGAGGGCTAAAAGGGAATGATGATTAATATCTTGCAGCACTGAATCCCTATCCAGCTGTGAGGATGTGGAGGGCCTCCAAACCTTCCTAATTGGGCCTCTAGCCCAATATTGGACAGGTACCCCTGTCCTTTACCGTATAAAAATATTTTCCAATTGGTGCTGCACAGTCTATTGCCTTTGGGTTGGCGGGGGCGCAGGGGTCTCACCGCGTTAAGGTCCTGGTGGAGATGTAATGAGAAAATGTTACCAGAAAAGGGGTCTCATCCCAAACCCCAAGAGCAGGTTCTTAGATCTTGCAGGGAAATAATTCAGGGAAAGTCACAGAGTATAGTAAAGTTTAAATGGTTTGTTAGAAACCACTCTATTACAGAGTAGGGCATGCTCAGAAAGCAAGAGGAGGAACACCCCTACCTTGATGTAATGCTTGCTTATACAGGATATTAGGGCTAAGAATAGTATACTTTATTACAAAGTCTTGTGATCAGCTTGTGACAGGATATTAGTATTCATAGTCTCTTGTGTAACTATTGATTTCAGCAAGTGTTTATGGGTATATTATTAATGGTATTATTACAGTAAAATCCATGTTTAAACTAAGAATGCCTTTTTCTGTTAACTCGTTTCCTCAATCCTACACATCTTGTGATGAAGAGTGCCTAACTTCCTGGGAAAGTCACCCTGCAGGTTTGGCTTTATCTGGCCTTTATTTAAGATGGAGTAACTCTGGTTAGGACACCTGCAACAGAGTAAGTTTAAATGATAATGGAATAACGCTGGCTAAAGCCGGGAGGCTACCACAATAATCTGGATGGGAGATGATGGTTGCTTGGACCAGGGTGATGCCTGTGGAGGTGGTGAGAGGTGGCTGACTATGGATGTGTTTTGAAGATGTGACTAATAGAATTTGCTGACAGATGAGACTTGGGATGTGAGAAGCAGAGGGGAGTCAAGAGTGACTTCACAGGTGTTGGCCTGGGCAACTGGAAAGATGGAATTGCCATTTATTGATACAGGAGCAGATATTGGAGGAGAAGATCAAGATCAACTGGGGGCTTGTTCACTTTGTGGTGTGTGTTAGACATCTAACTGAATGTATCAAATTGGCAATTAAATATACAAGTCTAGAATGAGGGGAGAGTTCTGGGCTGGAGATAGACATTTTGGAATTCACTGGCATAGGTGCTGTATGTAAAGCCACAGGAATGGATGAGATTGCCAAGGGAAGTGCATGTGGACAGAGAAGACTGAGCTCGTAACATCTGGTGGTTGGGAGAACGGGCAAAGGAGACCAGAGAAGGGCTCGCTGTGTGCCAGGTATTGGTTTCAGCACTTTGATATTTCTAAGCTCGTTTAATCCTCACTTTAACTCTGTGACATAACTGTTCCTATGTCAGGGAACCTTAAGTACCTCACCTAGCTCTCACAGTAGGTGACAGAGCCAAGTCAAGCACAGCTTATGTATCCTACAGCCTGCCCCTACCCACCAGGCTATACTTCCCCCCCAGCAACTATACCAAATGTTTATACTTTTACTTATTTAACAAGATGGGGCTGGGTTAAATAAGTAAGTTAAATAAGTTAAATAAGGCGTGGTGGCTCACACCTGTAATCCCAGCACTTTGGGAGGCTGAGGCAGGCAGATCACCTGAGGCTGGGAGGTCAAGACCAGGATAACCAACACGGAGAAACCCTATCTCTACTAAAAATATAAAATTAGGCGAACGTGGCAGCGCATGCCTGTAATCCCAGCTACTCTGGAGTCTGAAGCAGGAGAATCACTTGAACCCGGGAGGCGGAGGTTGCGGTAAGCTGAGATCATGCCATTGCACTCCAGGCTCGGCAACAACAACAAAACTCTGTCTCAAAAAAACAAAAAACAGAAAGACAGTATGTTCTTCTAGTGCAGAGTGACCTAAACAGGATCTGGGTCCACTAACCTTACTCTGAATCTCAATTTCCACATTAGTAGCATGCCAGTCTACCTCTTTTATAGCATTGTGTTAAAACTAACGATGGTAGTGGACTTGTAAAGCTCAAAGTGCAGCATCTATGTTACACCGTGTCACAAGATCTCTGGGATGTAGGAGGCCCTTGAAAATCCCGAATAGAATATCATCCCCTTCCTGATACGTGTCACTATAACATCCATATCATACCTCGTGCTGCTTCTCTGTTTGGGATCTTTCTCTTTCTACAGTTCTGTTTGTTAGGAACATCTTTAAGCCAAAAGATCCTTGTCATTTCTACCGATCACATACAGCTCCCCACTCCCTGAGTTGCTAAGGATGAGTCTACACATGAATAGCATGCTCTTAGGCTCTTGGATTTCTCCAGGCACCCGTGATTGTCATTTTCTACTTGAAGCCAGACATATTTTTCCAAAGCACTTGGAATCAGTTAGTCGCCTACAAGAAAAATGGAAAGTATTCTTTTATTTAGTTAGTTTTATTTATTTATTTTTATTTTGAGATGGAGTCTCACTCTGTCACCTGGGCTGGAGTGCAGTGGCGTGATCTCTGCTGCCTGCAACCTCTGCCTCCCAGGTTCAAACAATTCCCCTGTCTCAGCCTCTCGAGTAACTGGGATTACAGGCACCTGCCACTACACCCAGCTAATTTGTTGTATTTTTAGTAGAGATGGGGGGGTGTCACCATGTTGAGCAGGATGGTCTTGAACTCTTGACGTCGTGATTCACTCATCTCTGCATCCCAAAGTGCTGGGATTACAGGCGTGAGCCACTGCACCCTTTTCTTTTTAATTTTAAGTTCCAGGATACATGTGCAGAAAATGTGCAGGTTTGTTACATAGGTAAAGGTGTGTCATGGTGGTTTGCTGCATCTACCAACCCATCACCTGTTTTTATGCTCTGTCTCTCCACACTAGCATGAAAGAGCCACAAAAGCCAGGACCCAAGGGTACCTTATTCATTTCTGTATCCCAGTACCCAGCACATTATATTTGTTAAGCCATGTTTTATATTTTATTAGCCAGTATCTCCTTCAAATGTGGGAGCCCATAATTTTCTAGTTTGGTCATACCAACAAAGACCAGAGAAGAATGATAGGGTTGGAATAGAATTCTCTGGTTCCTTCTAGCTCTAATATTCTATGATCATGTGAACTTGTTCTATCAAATACCCTTGTATTAACACAATAAGGAATTTAATTAGTGGTCTGTTGTTGTTGATTTGTTTTGGTAAACAACTGTTAAATGAAATGGCTGGAATCAGTGTTCCATTCATAAATTTAACAAACATTTGTTGAGTGCCTACAATGTATTAGGCACAATGTATATTGTCCCATATAACAGATGTAAGAGCAGAAGGCCAGGGATAGGGGTGAGTGTTCAGGAGAGGTGATGGGTACCTCCCATTGCTAATGCTCCAGGAGGTCCAGAGTTCTTAGATATGGCTGGCGCTACTCTGCTTATCACTGAGGAGGGAAGAGGCTCCCAGTGGCCTGAGTGGAGGGGTTACCAAGCTGCAGCTGCAAGGGACACAGAGCAGCATTCACCGAGGCACAACAAGCAGCCTCTATCTGCTTCACCACTAAGCAGCTGAGGGCCCCCACACAACAGCTGTTTCAGGCAGTGGGAGGAGAGGAAGATGTGGCCTTCAGGTCCACCCTGCCACAGTGCCAACACCAGATTTTAGGCCATATTTAGGGCTTGAGGCTTCTTCTGTGGCTGAACAGTGCCTTTGGGCTTTCTCTGCACGATCTTTTCCTTTTTGCTTACATAGGCCTTGTCAGGCAGGGCAGGGTTTAGCAGTTGCATTCTAAGGCGAGGAGAGGAGGGCTTAGAGTATTGCAAGACCTAATGGTGAAGGTCAGAGCCAGGACAGGAACCTAGGGGTACTCCTGCCCTTGGAATAATGGGGAGAACATCGGCTCTGTAGTCTACCCTGGATGAAATAATCTTCACTTGATTACCGCTCCACCCACATCCTTTCGAAACAAAGTACCTCAGTTTCCTCATTTGTAAAAGAGGGAGAAAAATGTCCTCCTACAGGGTTCCTTGCAGAATCAAGGGCATAACGTGAGTGAGAGCGCTTTGTGACATACAAAGTGCTCTCCAGACATTTATTACGGTTCTAAATTGCCAGGCCAAGCTTCCTCTTGCAATTATAGTTTACGGGCTTCTACTCATCTCTCCTCTGACTTTGTTCCACTTTCTACTCCTCTTCTCCGTCCCTCCCCCTCCAACAAAGAGAGGAAGTGAGAGACGCAGAGGCAAATGTCTAAGGACTAGTTGAGTTGGCCCAGGGTCACAGGCAAGCTTTGCCGCCCCTAGGGGTGTGAGGGCCGCCTCCAAGCAGAACTACATTTCCCAGCAACACTTTCGCGGCTCCAGGGCGGCAGCGGCCAGGCGCATGCGCCGAGTACCGCCACGCCTGGTCTCGGGGACGCCCTTCTGGACCGGTTTCGCCTCGCGGAGCTCGCAGGTCCAGGTGCCGCGGCCGCAGTGCTGCCTCCCTGCGCCGCGGGCAGTGGCGGTCTCAGGTGTGCCGAAGCTCTGGTCAGTGCCATGATCCGGCAGGAGCGCTCCACATCCTACCAGGAGGTAGGAGGTTGTGAGAGACGGAAGGGAGGTTTCCTGTGAGGCGGAGGAGCAGGGTCCCAGCGGTCGGGGTGGGGGCGTCAGGGCTGCACGGCCCAGGGCTCTTCGGAGGGACCTGCGGGTGCGTCTGTAGAGGGCTCCGGGGGTGCAGAAGAGCGGCCCAGGGGCAGGAAGAAAGCTAGGTGGCGAAGCGGGCGCCCAGCCTCCCCGGATGCTGCGGGTCGTTTGGCCGAGGGCCGGAGTAGGGTCCCTGGCGCCGCGACCCGTAAACAGCAGGTGAATGATTAAAGCTACGTCAGGCCCAGCTTTCCGCGCTCCCAGCCGGAGCGGCAGCCTGGTGGCCCGAGGAACCCGGCGTTCTTTGCAACAAGTGGAGCGCCCGCGCCCTCCTCCCGGCGAGAGCAGATGCGCGGTTGGCGTCGTGGGCATCCTCCCCCTCCGAGCCCAAGAGCTCACGGTCTCCGCGGCTGGTGACAGGATTGATTACCTGTTTTTTGGTGACCGCCTAACTGTGAAAAAGTGCCTTCATGGACTTTGCTGGTGTTCGTTCCTCTCCGTCTCTCCCTCCAGTCTCACCTCCTCCCACGACTTTGCCACTTTTCCAGTTCTTTGTCTTTTCTCTGTCCTGCGCTGCAGGCTTTGCGTTTAGCGCTTCCTTCAGGCCAGCCCTGCCTCCTGACTTCTCCAGCTGTAATTAGTGAAACTGCTCTCCTCCTCCGCCTCTTTTCGGGCCCCAGACCTTGGTCATCTTTGGCAACCGTCCTCTTCTGTGCCCCTCCACCGTGCCCCCTCACTGGCCAAGGCCAGGCACCCGTCCTCCTCCAGTTTGTGTCCCTGTGTTTGCTGTAACCTCTGAGTGTGATACTGTTTTACCTTCTTTCCCTTTAGTCTCATACTTTCCAGATTTGCCTGGAGGCACTGCCTTGACCTCGGAGCATTCCTTTTTTTCCTCAGATGTGACGCTGCCCTTGGTCTCCCTAGAACAGTCCAGACTTCTCAGCAAGCTCCCAAAGCTCCGTGCAGCGTAGCAGCCGTGCCTCTCATTACCCTTGCCACCTCCTCACCCGCCTAGGCTCTGCCACAATGGAAACTCAGTTTTAAAATGTGCTCCTTTTTCTGTGCATTTACTCACACCATTTTTTCGCCAACCCTCCGCCAAACTTCACTGGGTAAAACGCCCCCATAAGTCAAAGGCTACTTCAAGTTCCATGTGCTCCGTGGGGGTTGAATTTCCAGACTGGTCTGGCGTTCTGTTTGGCCTTCTCATGTGAACTTGCTGCCTTCTGCCTTAGTCAATAGTTACTGCTGTACATACCTCCCTTTGTAAAGAGAGACCGATTCACAGAAGGGCTTTGTGGACTATATAAAGCAGGTGGCTTAGCCCTACAGTGGAGGGAGAAGCCAAGTTGAAGGCAGATGAGATTTGCCTAAGGCCTGCCATTTTTTAGTGTAGGATCTTGGCTGGAATCTGGCCTTGGACAGATTTCTGTATTTCTCCTCCCATCTCCTTTATTCCATCTGTTTTCTTTGTCTGAATGGAGTCTGAGGGATTTTAACCAATGTTGTGGATTCCATGGCCCCTAGATTCTGCACCCTAAACAGTGGGGGAATCCTGGGGAATTTTTGGTTGATTTTTGGTTGTTAGTCACAGTGGACAAATACTAGGGATTTCAAGTCAGAAAGCCCACATTCCTGTCTTGGCTTTGTCTCTCGCCATTTGTGTGACTTTTATCAAGTCACATAAGTTTCTGAGCCTCAGTTTCTTTGAAAGATGAAGATTAATAAAAGTCTCTACCTCCTAGGGTTGGTTGGGGATTAAATAAGTTGGTGTGGAAAGTGCTTGGCTCAGTGTCTGGCAGATAGTGACCCCACAGTGAATAATAGCTCTTGTTAACAGGGTGTGGGCAGCTCCTGCATCTAGGGTGCCTTGGGGTCCTAGGTAAGCAGGAATATGAGCCTCACCAGCCACACATAGCCAGCCGTATCTCCTCACCTAGCAGGGCTCATAAAATATTAAAATAATAGGCACTTATCCCACTTGCAGGGCCAAGGCCCAGGTGGACACAGTTTCTCTTTGGAGGCATCTCTAAGGTGGAAAGCACTGGAAGGGTTCCTTCCCCTTGCCTTCTTCAGAGGCCTGTTCTATACCACCTGTGTCTTCCCTCTTCAAAGAAAGGGGCCACCCAGAGAATGTCCAGCATCTTTCTTGCCTGAACCATTCTGTGAGTGTACCTAGCTGTGAGTAGTTTTATTTACTGAGGGGGGGATTTTGCCTTAGGGAGGGTGGGATATACTGATAATTTGGCCAGGGGCAGGCAAGGAGGTAGGCTCATTATGGCTGCGGGTAATCAGGGAACTCTCTGGGAGAGTGTTAGCACCTGGATCAGGGTGAAGCTGGGTGAGGCTTGGATTAGGGAACTTTGAGACTTCCTAGAACTAACATCCTCCTCTCCCTTTGGCCAGCGAAACCTCTGGGGACTTCTTTATCTGTGCTCCCGCTAGTGGCTTATATCTCTTGGTGCCTTCGCCAGCCTCCCTGCCCCTTTCTCACTGGTTGCTTTCCTGTTTTCTTTTTTTTTTTTTTTTGAGATAGAGTTTCATTTTTGTCGCCCAGGCTGGAGTGCAATGGTGTGATATTGTCTCACTGCAACCTCTGCCTCTGAGGTTCAATAGATTCTCCTGCCTCAGCCTCCCAGGTAGCTGGCACTACAGGTGTGTACTACCATGCCCAGCTAATTTTCGTATTTTTTAGTAGAGATGGGGCTTCATGTTGACCGGACTTGTCTCGAACTCCTGATCTCAAGAGATTCACCCACCTCAGCCTCCCAAAGTGCTCGAATTACAGGCATGAGCCACCATGCCAAGCCCCCCACTCAGCCTTTTCTTTTGTGCTTGGAGGGCTTTAAACTGGAGGTTTGCCTGATTATAAGGGGCTGGAGTGGAGTTGTGGGGAGGGAGATCGAAAAACAGATGCATAAGAGCTGTTTTTCACTCCTCTCTTGGAGAAGAGTTTTTAATGAAAATGTCTTGAAACCTTAAACACTGATGCTGTGAGCCTGAAAAAATGCTTGGGAAAGCTGTCCCCTCTCCCTTCCAATTCAGGAATGACATCCCTTCTAAGCTCTAGTCTTGACCTCTTTTGCCCTCCTACTTCATCCTGCAGAGACTTGTTGATTATAATGGTATCCTTTCCATCCTTCTACCCTTCTCAGCGGTATAATTTCCTCATTTGACAGGTGAGACCACTGGTGAAGTGAGGTTGAGGTTGTTGCCGGCTACCAGGTTGCTGATTATAATTAGCACCTAGCCCTGTGATGGACTGCCTGCCCCTCCTGCTTTGTTCTGCTATTTGCAGCCCAAGTTGGTGGACTTCGGCCAGAGTGCCAGAGAGAGCTCTGACACCACCTTCACTGTTGCCTATTCTCTTTCAGCAGACTCTAATCCACATTTCCTCTTCCTTTGGGAAGTGGTTAAGACCATAGGCTTTGGAACCAGACCAGCTTGGATTTGACTCCTGGCTGTACCTTTCCCTGGCCTTGTGTTCGTTGAATTGTGTTTCCTTAAAAAAGATATGTTGAAGTCCTAACCCCAGGTACCTCAGATTGTGACGTTGTTTGGAAATGGGGTCAATGCAGGTGTAATTAGTTAAGATGAGGACATATAGGAGTAGGGTGGGCCCCTAATCCAACATTGCTGGTGTCCTTAAAGACGACGACCATGTGAAGACACACAGAACACCTTGTGAAGATGGCAGCAGAGAGCAGAAATTGGATGCCTCTGCAAGCCAACGAATGCCAAGATTGCTAGCTGTCACCAGAAGCCAGAAGAGAGGCATGGAACAGATTCCCTCACCACTCGCAGAAGGAACCAACCCTGCCAAAACCTTGACTTAGACTTCTGGCCTCCAGAACTGTGAGAGAAGACATTTCTGTTACTTTAAGCTGTTCAGTTTGTGGTACTTCCTACAGTAGTCCTAGGAACATAACGGGCAGAAAGTTTCTTGAGCTTTCTGAGCTTTGGTGTCCTCATCTGTGAAATTGCTGTAATGCACTCTACATCATGTGGTTTTTGGTGACAATTAAGTGAGAAACAGCTTCTGCTTTCTTATTCTAGTCTAGAAAAGCAAGGCTGACACGGCTGACTCAGTTTTGCTCTTTTTGCTTCTCCCTTTAGCTGAGTGAGGAGTTGGACCAGGTGGTTGAGAACTCAGAGCTGGCAGACGAGCAGGACGAGGAGACAGTCAAAGTCCAAGGTCCAGGTGTCTTACCAGGTGAGTGGGTTTGGTGCTTTCCTGTGCTGTTGCTGTAGTTGGACGCCCCAGTCCAGGCGCCTTGCCAACTGTGGGAGAGGAGGAGCCCCCTGCCCTGCACCCTGGTGTCAGATCTCAAGAATTGCCCTAGTTTTAAAGCTATACATATTTAACCAGCTTTGGAACAGAGGCTGTGTCTAGGCTGATATCTGTTCTTAACTCCAATTTGAGCCAGTTCCTGAGGCCAGGTCATGGCATACAATGGCAAATGCTTGGATCTTGGTTCTTCTCTTCCTCTTTCCCTTGAAGCTGCTAACAGGTGAGCCTCTAATATCCAAGTCAAAGAAGATCTAATAGGCCCCACCTTTCAGGTACCAGGTCTATCCAGTAATGCTGCTAAGTTGGGTAAGCAGGGTCCTATCAGTCACTTGACATCTTATGGAGCCTTACAGCAATGTTGGACGCTGCTGACTACTTCTTCCTCCTGGGTACACGCTGCTCCCTTAGCTTCTGTGATGGAGCATTTCTCAGGCCACTCCTTCCAGGTTCCATTATGGTTACTCTCTCCAGCTCTTAGGCATTCAGTGTTGGTTGCAGGACCCTTTCTCTTACTCTCATAGGCAGCTCCCCCCAGGCCTGCCCCTCTGCTTCAACCACACGTGCTCACATGTGTCTCCCATGTTTACATCTCTAGCCCAGAGATTACCTACAAATTCCAAACTTACATATCCTGTATTTCCAGCTGCCCAGGTGATAGTTCTGCTTGGATTTCCCAAGGGTTCCCTCAACTCCACGTGTCCAAAATTGACCTTATGATCTTCTCAGTCCCAGCTTGGTCCTCTTCCAGTATTTCCTGTTTCCAGGAATGGAATTGCCACTTATTCAGCTGAACTTCAGAGTAGCTCTCCCTTCCTTCCCCTCATCCATCCCCTTTTTCTCTGGCCCTCAGCCATGCTGATCTTTTTAAATTTAGGCTCCATTCCCTTTCACCATAGGGCCTTTTTGTTGTTTGTTTATCTGCTTGGAACTCACTTTCCTTCTTCACATAGTTAGTGCCTAATCATTCTTCAGCTTTCAGTTCTCTGATTTTTTTCTACAGAGCCTTCTCTAACCTTCTGGCCAGACTACCTCCCACCTTCCAGCACTGTCTCGTAGTCCATGTGCCTCTCCTTTCCAGCCGTTGTTGTTGGAGTGGTGCATTTGTTTGTCTGACCAGTGTCTGTCTCTTCTACTACAGCAGTCCCCAACCTTTTTGCCACCAGGAACTGGTTTGTGGAAGGCAGTTTTTCCACAAATGGAGGTTGGGGGATGGTTTCAGGCTGAAACTGTTCTGCCTCAGATTATAGGCATAGTTCGATTTTCATAAGGAGTGCACAGCCTAGATCCCTTGTATGCACAGTTCACAATAGGGTTTGCACTCCTGTAAGAATGTAATACTACAGCTGATCTGAAAGGAGGTGGAGCTCAGGCAGTAATGCTCACTCACTGCTCACCTCCTGCTGTGTGGCCCAGTTCCTAACAGGCCATTGACCTGTATTGGTTTGTGGCCTGGAGTTTGGGGACCCCTGTTCTACTAGAATGAAGCTCCCTGAGGACAGAAGACCAGTCTGTTTTGCTCACCACCCTAGCCTTGACCACGTAATAAAGAGTTATTGAGTGAATGAATGAAGCCCCAGCCTGACTTCAGCTTCTTGGGTGGGTGCCATGTATTTGTGGGAGAGGGAACAGGACAGGAACTAATGTGATTCTGCCTGCTCCTTAGAGAAGACTGCATGGAAGGGACCAGGCATGGTGCCTCATGCCTGTAATCCTAGCACTTTGGGAGGCTGAGGCGGGTGGATCACCTGAGGTCAGGAGTTCGAGATCAGCCTGGCCAACATGGTAAAACCCCATATCTACTAAAAAATGCAAAAATTAGCCAGGTTTGTTGCCACGTGCCTGTAATCTCGGCTACTTGGGAGGCGGAGGCAGGAGAATCACTTGAACCCAGGAGGTGGAGTTCACAAGACGAGAGCATGCCACTGCACTCCAGCCTGGGCGACAAGATTGAGACTCTGTCTCAAGAAAAAAAAAAAAAAATTACATGGAAGGAAGGAGGCTGGAAGGGCAGCTAGCATTTCCTGACTGCTTCCCCTGTGCCAGGATCTGTCATACCCCATTTGCCCCATTTAATTCTCACATCAGACCTGTGAGGTGGTTATCCCTCTTTTACAGATGAGGTCTCCAGGGTCAGGGAGGTTGAGTAAAGCACGGGGAGGTCATACAGCTGGAAAACACAGACTGAATTAAGCTCCACCCAACCCTAAACTCTCTACTACACCAGTGGTTTCTAAACACTATTTTAAGTGGTGGTAATCCCAATACTTTGGGAAGCCAAGATGGGAGGATCTCTTGAGGTCAGGAATTTGAGACTAGCCTCGAGAACAAAGCAAGATCCTGTCTCTACCAAGCAGACAAAAACCAAAAATGCTCACGCAAAACAATATTTTAAGCATTTTTTATTAAAGCCCAATATGTAAAAGATAGTGGCATGGCTAACATTCCCTCTGACACCAGGCATTGCCTCTAAAGCCCTAAGGCTCCAGGGAGAACAATTTGAAAGCCCTGTATATTAGTTTTACATTGTTTCTATAACCAATTACCACAAACTTAGTGGCTTAAAAAAACAAAAATGTATTATCTTACAGTTCTGGAGGTCAGGAGTCCAAAATGGAGCTCTCTGGGTGAAAAGTAAACTGTTGGCAGGCCTGAATTCCTTTGTAGAGGCTCAAGGAGAGAACTTGGTCTTTGACTTTTCTAGCTTCTGGAGGACTCTTGCATTCCTTGGCTTGTGGCCCCTTCTTCCAGCTTCAAAAGCAGCAGTGGCTGGTCAGGTCTCTCTCACATCACATTACTCTGACGCTGACTCTCCTGCCTCCTTTTTCCATGTTTAGAGGGCCTTTGTGATCACATTGGGTTACCCAGATAACCCAGGAAAATCTCTCTGCTTTAAACTCAGTTGATTAACAACCTTAGTCTCATCTGCTGCCCTAATTCCCCTTTTCCATGGAACTTGACATATTTATAGGCTGTAAGGATTAACACTTGGACATCTTTGGGAGCCTTTATTTTGCCACCCACACCTTGCACTACCCTCTTGCCCTCAACCAGAGAGCATAGATGGAGGCAGGAGGAAGAAGAGGAAGGACGCCAGACTTAGAAGTGATGAGGCTTGCCTTTGTGTTTCCTTTCATAGAGAAGTGTCCAAGTAAATTAGGAGGTGGCCCTGATGACCTTGGACCTTAGCAGCCTCTCCTTTGCCTCAGATTCCTGGAGCTGCAAAGCCTGAGATCAATCAGAATAGGAAGCCAGGCCTCAGGTAGAACAAATTTTGGGTAGTTCATCAACTGGCAAGAGCCTTCCCAGTTGCTTTGGGGGAACCAGATGAGCTGGGCTTACTTTCTAAACCACAGAAGATTCAGATCTCAGTCCATTTGGCTGTCCTAATAGTGAGTTGGCTCAAATTTGATGGACTGACACAACTCTCAGAGCTCATTTCCTGCCTCTGAGTGTTTTTTTTTTTTTTCTTTTTGAGACTGAATCTTGCTGTGTCACCCAGGCTACAGTGCAGTGGCATGATCTGAGCTTGCTGCACCACCTCCTGAGTTCAAGCAATCCTCATGCCTCAGCCCGTCGAGTAACTGAGATTACAGGCATTTGGAATCACTCCTGGCTAATTTTTGTATTTTTAGTAGAGATGGAGTTTCACCATGTTGGCCAGGCTGGTCTTGAACTCCTGACCTCAAGTGATCCGCCTGCCTCAGCCTCCCGAAGTGCTAGGATTATAAATATGAGCCACTGCACTCGGCCCCTTTGAGTCTTCTAATAGTAATCCAAATAATGGTAATGATGATAATGGTTGCCATTTTGGGGGTGCTTTCATGTATTAGGCCTGTGGAGGGCTCTTTTTTTTTAAGATGGGGCCTTGCTTTGTGGACTGGGCTACAGTGCAGTGGTGTGATTATGACTCACTTCAGCCTCCCGAGGAGTTGGGACTACAGGCATGCACCACCATACCTGGCTAATTGTTAAATTTTTTTGAGAGACAAGGTTATGCAGTGTTGCCCAGGCTGGTCTCAAACTCCTGAGCTCAAGCCTGCCTTGACCTCCCAAAGTGCTGAGAGAACTTGGTCTCTTATAGGTGTGAGCCACTGCACCCGGCCTGTAGGGCTTTTTGTATACACTTTATCTCATAATCTTCACAGCCACTCTGTGAGGCAAATGGTTGGTTAGTCCTAGTTTATAGCTGAGGAACCCAAGGCACAGACATTAAGGAACATGCTCAGAGCTCATGAGTGGCAGGGCTCAAATTTGCTATCTCCCAGGGTGATCTGCTCTGTCACCTGCTATCTCCCAAGGTCATCTGCTCCAAAAGTATTCTGACTCTGACTCAGTTGTTCCTAGATGAGAGCTTTCCTGCTCCAAATTCTCCCTTCCCTCTAGCAGATGACTTATGGACTGCTTCACCTGTTATGCCAAATGCTAACACCACAAAGAGGGTGAGTAAGAGCCTTCCTTGACTTCCCTGATGAGGTCCTTTTCTCCCTGTGATGTACTTTCCTTTGTAACACTTAGCACGGTTGATAGGTCACATTTATTGAGTTTAATTATTTAGTTAATTGTTATCCACTCCTTGGCATTGCCCTGCAAGTTCTATGAGGCACACAGATTTTATCTTCTCCTTTACTGTAACTCCAGTGTCTGGTGTGGAATGTATTAAGGAAGTATGACTCCATAGAAGTCGGACTTCTATGGAGTATGAGTACTGTAGGAACTCAGTACCTATTCGTTCTCTGGGGAAGAGCAGTGGAGATTTAAAGCAGGATAGTATCTCATCTAGGAGCAACTGAGCCAACTGGAATGAATGAATGAGGGCCAAATAAATGGTAGAATCAGGTGCTTCAAAATGAATAAAGGGGCCAGCAGTGGCTCACACCTGAAGGGGCTCATGCTTTGGCTCATCTCAGCACTTTAGGAGGCCG